AGGATCCCCTTAAAATTAAGATATATATTTTGTGGCTATCCTTTTTGTAAATACTCTATTGAGGGATATATCTCCTGCAGAAAAATTATTCACAAAAGTCACCTTTCAACTTATTTGTAAGGAAAATTTTTGCATTTTTACTGGCCATTATTAGTATAATTTTAAAAATTTCATGTGATAAATATTTTCGAAAATATTTTTAAATCACAAAATTAGTGAAATTAAAACTCCAGGAAATATGCCCCCTCCCTATATAGTACTGGTAGAAGTAGAATGATTTGCTACAGTGTGTCACTGTTTAATCAGTGTTATTAGACAGGAAGTGCTAGCAGTGGTAGGTGTGTAGATGATGACACTATTAATAATGACATAATTATAGTTCTTAAAATAGCTTTTACTACTCAGCAATAATTATAAACATTAAACAGTAAAGACATAATGACACATGACACACTCAGCTAGGCCATATGTAGCTAACACAGCAGTAGCTGACACAGCAAAAAGGACACTACATAAAGGTCTCAACACTTAACAAGTTAGACAGTGTAATATACTACTTATTGTTTGTACATGTAAGTCACAATTTCTCTTTCTTAATTAATGTCATCTCCAGAGTCAATAAAGCTTTGTGGCTCCTTAAAAGACTCCAAATCAGGGAGGACCAGCTCAGCTTCATCTTGTAGCGTCTGTGGGAAGTGAAGGACTAGTGGAGTAATGACCATTTCATCTGTTGGAGGCTCCATATTGACATCAATTGGTTGCTGCGCCTCCCAAGCATTATCAATAAGAGGAGGAGCATCAGCGCTGGACTGAACCGGTACATGCTCCGTCACTAGTTCAGGCAATTGAAGACTGGAAGCAGCTCTAGCATCATCATCGTCATCATCATCATCGTTGTCGTCATTAATATCTCTCTCATTATCGATGGCTCTCATGTTTTCATGTTCAAACTTAACCAAATCAAACTGACTAACAGCACCTCCTTCCTCATTACTAGCACCATGAACAGCTTCATCTCTTACTACAACAACTGGTGGAACTGCAGGTGGTTGGACTGGAGGAGGACCAGAGTAAGAGGACTCTAATGACATACGTCCATGATGAAGGACAGGCAGAGAAGGAGGAGATACCATAGAGTGTGATGATCGGTTACCACCAGATGGAACTGTTATTGCTGGTGGGAGAGGACAAGAGAGTGATGGTTGGGGCTGACTAATAGCTCCCCTAGCCTCTCTGGGAACTATTTTAACATTAGCACCAGGCAGTACAGGCCTTTCAGGTTTATCAGAAGAATATTTTTGACGGTCTGGGTGCTGTGGCTTTAAGGAAGAGTATGGTCTATCCACTGACGGTTTCTTTTGACGTTGTTCGGTCGGTAGAGATTGAGGCTGACTGGTACTTCTGTTTCTCTTCCTTTTTTTCTTTTTACTCTTTAGTTTGGTTTCAGAACAAATCTCAGTTTTTTCATCACTGCTAGTAGTTATTATCCCGTTAGTGGTGCTAATAGGAGGAGGAGGAGCAGAAAGAGTGGGAGATGGCGGAGGAGAAGGTAAAGAAGATAACATGGAAGGCCATTTAAACGAGGTATCAATTGGTGGTGACTTGTCACAATCTTTTGTCTCATTTTTACGAACAGAGATCCTTTTGGTATTTTTATCGTTATTTATCACATCCAGAGAAGAGCTCTCAAACGATGACTTGTTGTCAGGTATCTCCTTTGAATTGATATCATACGGAGTGACAGTGCGATTGGTGATGGTCTCAGTGTCGGTATCATCAGTACCAGTGTCATTAGACTCATTCTTATACTGGTGTTTCAAAGACCGGTAGTACAGTGAGTGAGTAGCAACCTTGTCATGAGTGCTGCTGGGCTGTTGTTTAGATGCTATTCCAAGCTTATATGTGGAATGTGCATCGTTAATAATCGTAGCTAAGAATTCTTTAATTTGATCAACAGGTAGAATAACCCAGAAACCAAGGATTATTAGTAGAAGAAGAAAGATTATTAGTGCTAAGATTACTAGTGCTACTGCTACTTCCATATTGAATAACCTGTAATGAGAGAGCTGTGACTTCATAGGTCAAACAGTGTTGTGTGTGTGTGTGTGTGTGATATATCCGTGTGATACTGCTCATATATTAATTGTTAATGCATGTATTATGCCACTATACACTAACCTTGTTAACTAAAGGAAAGACTCAGCTACTTTGCTGGAAGAATAAGATGATTAACAGCTAATCGGCACTAGATTAGGGAATTGCGCATTGCCACTGCACTGATGTGCATCAATTAGAAATAATTATTAATTGCTATTCATTGGCTGATGTAATAATTCCGCCTATTGCATTTGATGGTGCAATAGTTTTCATTTTTATACATGTGTAGTTGTGTACTGCAGATGCTTGTACTAATGTTAGTGTTTTTAATTTCCAATTTATCAAAATTTATATCCGTGTAGCCTTCCTCTCTTGTTTTGTCAGTGTATGATTGCTTTAACATTTTTAAGTATGCAAACACAACACAAAGAACAGCTGACCATAATTTGTTTACAAACATTAAACAACAACTAACAGGAACTAATAATTAGTTTTAATTACAATAGTAAAACAATTGCAATATATACACACAAGAATAAAACAATATTGTACTTGATAAACATAATTAATCGGCATGATTGTGAAGTTTTTGTTTTCTATATATAGAACGGTAGCTCTCTTTTTATGTACATCTCTACGGAGGGGACTCTGGTTTATTTATAAACGACACTTTTAGCATATTGAGACAGTGGAATGTCTAATGTTGGATGAAGAGGAGTGAATGTTGCCGACACATTGGGACTAGTAACTGATGCTTCAAATTTAACATTACTGGCTACTCCTTTTGTCTCCCTTTTGTCTGGTCTCTTTTCTGACTGTTTTTGACTCACTTGCGCAGTGAAACAGCCGTCCTTGATAGTATTGTATGATGGAGAGCCTGTATCCTGGGTTGTGCATTCCCTTGTATTCAGGAGATGCCTGGCATGACTACCGGTGGAAGGTTCTGTAGTATCTACTGGAGAGTTAAGGGACAACCCAAGATGCTGCAACTTGTTTTCATCAATGGTGTCACTTTTACTGTCACCGTCATCTGTTTTGCTGTGATTGCTTGAGTGAGCCATTTTCAGCTCACACTATAGATACTATTAAAAAGGGGTAGGGCTAAGGACTTAGGCAGGCTTATCTGAACACCTGTAATCACTATAAGTTGATCTGAAGGAGGGGCTACCTAGCTGTTGTTAGTATAGTTGCATTTAAGGGCTCATCATATGATGATGATAGTAGTCATAGTGGGGCGAGCCGAATTTTAATGCTTTAGCACAGAACTCGGTTCTCCATCATGCTGTGAAAGTGCATTTAGCAAGTAATAAAACTATACAGTAATGTGTTATTTATTTTCTACAGTAGAACTTTGAACTTGATTGACATCACAAGGAAAGTTGGCGCCACTATGCAAGTTTGTGGTTAATGATATAATTCCCTTGAGGTTCCTTTGATAAGTGACTTGCGTATATAGCTGATTGATCTAGTGTCTGGAATCCCAATCTGTTTGGATGAGCAAGGGGCAGCTAATAAATTGAAGATACTAAGTGAGTTAATAATACAGTACATGTAGATCTGAATTATTAGTTTGGGGTGTGTGTGAGTGTGAGCTTTTACATATCAATTGTCATGTTAGTTATACATGTATTGCATGTATTGTGTTATATAGTGTGCCACTAGCCACTGTGTATTAGGTTTTACATTTTTGCTATATATATAATACATGTACATGTGTTGTTTATGTATGATACTACCTGTATCTCCCTATTAGGTACATGTGTGCATGTTGTAGGTGTTGTGATCCATGTATGTATAATAATTATTTCTGCATTAGTTTCCTATTAACTTGGTTTGCATGTAGCCCTGCAACAGCCTTTTACTGTTGCAACAATAGTAGAGTCTATCTCTACAATAGTTGTATTCTAACCACAAAGTCCATACATGTAGATCAGCCACAACAATATGGAAGTCATATATGGTTTTACTATTGAGTTTTAACTGTTTATTAAATTGGGGAGTAACATGACAACTGACAATACACAAACATGATTATATAACTAGTAGATCACACACAGCAGTTATACACCTGTACATGTACATACATGTATTACAGGCCTGTTGATGTGTGAATGGTAAAACTGTTCAGTTCCGAAAGATCTGATGTTAAATCTTTCACGTAATCTTGAATGTATTTGGAACTACCCATATTGACTTCTGGATTTTAGCTTCTTCACTTTGAATGGCAGTGACCAAGTACTCGTGGGTCTCCAGCTCTGTCAGGATCAGTGCCAGTGCTTCAGGACTTGCTTTCCCCAGTGGTGTGGCTTCATCTTTCTTGACTATGTCATCCACAAGTATAGCCTCTCCGTCAGGCTGGTCGGGTATTTCGCTTCCCGTAGTCACTATGGTAGGACTACCGTCATCTGAATCAAATGCCTTGCTTTCGATTTCCTTGTGAATTGGACTCTGAGGCACTTCAGCATCAACATGGCTAGATTTAGAGCTTGGGTTGGTAGTAGCGTCACATGTTTCTATGTTAGGAAACGGAGCGGCATTTTCACCAGGTGAAATAATTTCATCCTGTTTCGGAGGCAATTGTGGGTCTTTTTCATCTACAATCTGATCTTGTTGAGGAACAGGATGAGTAGGTTTTTTGTTTTGTTCTTTTTCATTATCCTCTTGTTCAGATCTTTTGATGTGTGGGACTCCATTGTTCTTAGGATTGTTATGTCTTGGGCCTGAATGATCAACTTCGATATCGTTTTCCGTAGATTTGTCATCTTCTTCATTACGCTCATTGTCTTGGGACTGATTGGCAGGCTCTTGGACATCACCCCCAGCATCTTGTTTCTTACCAAGAAAAGTAAATGAATAAATAAACAAATAAATAAGTGCTGTAGTCAATTGTATATACTACATGTATATCCTAACTAGAAGTGAAAGAAGCTGCGTAGAATTTTAAAATGTAGTTGCATGTCATTAATGAAGTGTTAATTGTAATGATATTTTATTGCAAATAATTGAGACATAGTCAGCACTAACAAATTTTGATGGACTTTGGCAAATAGGAACCTTTGAGGATTTTATCCTTATTGTGCATTCACCTAAAAGTTACTCCAGTTTTCTTGTCCCAAACTTAGCTACAACTAAGATATTGTAGGTGTATATAGATTTTTTTACTGTGCCAACTCAATTTTGGTGGCAATATAGTGTGCGTTTTTGACCAAAGCCCTTCAAATAATTAAGCTGCTAATTTAAATATTCATTATTTCATATCTACCTCAGCTGTCCTTTCCACTGGAGTACGTTTCCAATAATTAATGAACAAAATGATGCCAATTACTACCACTACACAGGCTATTATAAACACAATGACTGCAAACTTGTTCTTCGAGAAGTCTGGCATCATTTGTATTATAAAGTGTACTGTTACAGCCGTATCTACATGTATAAAGCAAAAGGGCTTATTGCTAGAGGCATACATGTATGTTACTTACAAAATAGCCTTCTTTCTGATGATAACCACCATACACCACAATACACATGTACAGTGTATGAGTCACATGAGTATCATGTGAGCGGATGTGTCCTATTATTGTTGTATTGTTACGTGTATCCTTTTCTCATAAATACTGTTATAGTTATAAATCATGAGTATTATTTTTGTGTAGAAAACTAGAAAGGGGTTTATCTATGCAAACCATAAAATAAAAATAATGAATAACAGTGTGTGTACATTTATGTCATTAAAGGGCATGACTAATGAAGCAAACATGAATACTTTATTTAATTTAGAATTATTTAACTGGATTACATGTACCATGTATTTCACAGAAATTATTATTAATAAAACAAAATGCTCACAGTGTGCATGTATTTATTGTATTTATTAAAATTAATATTGACTCAATATAATACTTACTTGTATAATTTTTTACCCTTTTCTTGTTACAATAGGTGTTTATAAACTGGTTTGATTTAGTGGAACGACCTGTCTACTCTAGCTAATCTCAATGGTGTTTGCCATGTTTGTCCACTGCTAGTGAAAGGTCACTCTTGTGGCTGATACCAAATAAATTAAGGAGTGACTCTAAGGTAAGACTTTTGATTATAGTATGCACACCTGTCCATGACTTAATGTTAGTTGTGATATGGTTATACCTATTTTTTACATATTGTCTAAGCACTCCTTAATGTATGTATGTGTCTGAGTTAATGTGCCTGTACATAAAATACACATGTACATGTATGTGTAATATAAAACTAAGGGTCGACAAGCCATTATTTATAAGC